GCCTCCCTCTGGTTCCCTTTGCCTGTCTGCAGGTGGCGTGGGGGAAGAGAGGAAGGAGTGGCTGCTGAAATGTCAGAGCACCTTGTTATAAGGGGCAAGCATAGAACCTGGCAGGGCTTGAAGACATTTAAAAAGAAAAAGGCCTGGGGAATTTGGATTCTGGCTTCTGGGTCTGTAGGAAGGAGGCTCGGGTTGTTAAGGGCAATGGTCACCCATTGCATTTGCTGAGACTTATTATTGCAAATGTTTTCTGCATACATTTCTCTCATTTGATCACCAGCTACCTATAAAGTGGTGGGAGGGATAAATCAGACAAAAGCTCTAAAAATATTTTGGGAAAATTCATTTTGTTTTTCTCTGGGTTTTAATCCTGGATGCATCGCTAGGCAGCTCTGAGATCTTGGGCAAAGGGCTAGCCTCTCTGAGCCTCGGTTTTCTCATCTGCAAAGTTCTTGCCTCAATAGGTTGGTGGAGTGAAGATAATCTGTGCTGGCCCATAACAGGAGCTGAGCAAATGGTAACTGACATCTTTAGCCTTTGTATGCTTTCTGAGAGCCTACTATGTGCCAGCAGAAATGCTAAGATGCTGAAGACATGACTCTTGCCATGTGCAGAAAGTGACAGTGCAAAATTCATGCCAATATTTAGTGCTAAGGTGTTTGCAGAGTACTGTGGGAAGGCAGAGAGGTGCATATCTCCTGGGGAAGGCTTCATGGGGAGGTGTCATTTGAGCTGGGTTATAAGGGAAGAGGTGGAGTTCTCTAGAAAGGATTGGTGGAAGGGCGTTGCAGAGAGAGGGAGAATAGCATTTGGGAAGATGTAGATGTGAGAAAGAGCATGCTGTGTTTAAAAGATTTTGGGAGGTCTGTTGGGCCAGGACCAGGGTGTACATGTCTTATCTGGGAGGATGATGGGTGTGAGATGAGACAGAGTCTGTGAGTCAGGGTGAGGCTTCTGTATCAGGCTAAAAAGTGTGCCTTCACCCTTTATTATTAGGGGACTATATTAGTTCTATCTCTGAAAAACAAATCACCCCCAAACTTGCAGCCTCCAATATTAATAAACGTTTATTATCTTGCAGTTTCTGTGGTCAGGAATTTGGGAGTTACCCATTTGGATGCTTCTGGCTCAGGGTCTTTCATGAGGCTATAGTCAAGTTGTTGTTAGGGGCTGCTGTCATCTGAAGGCTCAACTGGGGCTGGAGGAGCCACTTACACAATGGTGCCCTCACATGACTGGCAAGTTGGTACCTGATGGTGGCTGGAGGTTCCTCATCACGTGGACAGTCCCAGAGACCTGCTTGGGTGTCCTCATGACATGGTGTTTGATTTCTCCAAAAGAGAGAAAGGCAGAAGCTGCAGTGTCTTTTATGCTCACACACCAGAAGTCACAATCATTTCTGCAATATCCTGTTGGTTATACAAGTCAGCCTGTTAAATGTGGGAAGGGGCTACACAACAGTGGAACCATCAGGAGAAGAGAATCAATGAGGCCATCTTCAAGGTTGGCCATCTTTCCAGTAGGATGAGGGATTTACATCATTGACTCCTCCCTACCAAAGAGAGACCAAGGCTTGAGGCTGACAACTCATCCTAGGATCACACCACTAGATGTTGGCAGTGTTGGCACTCTGCTGCCTTCTCAGGAGCTCTTTCTTTCATTCAAAGCCATTTCATTGCGATTTCTGTGGTATTGCTGGAATAGTAGACAACTCAATTATCTGTGTGGAATTTTGGGAATTCACACTCAGAGCAGAAACCAAAGCTGAAGGAAGTTATCCAGCTCTCCGGCCCAGAGCCCACTGCTTAGGCAAAGGCAGTGTTAGGTTAGGAGGGAGGCTGCTCTGTTGATTAATGCTAGATTATTAAAGACTAGTTTATTAATGTTGGTTTTCAAGAAGTTTATGATTACTCTAAAAAAGGAGCTGTTATATGGATAGATAACTGGATGAATGGATGGATGAAGAAATATATAGATAAGACAGACAGATAGACAGATGAATGGATGGATAGATAGATATATGGATGGATACATAGATGAATAGATAGATGATACATAAATGGATGGATCAATGGATGTATAGAAGATGATGGACGGATGGATGGATGGATGGATGGATGGATAGATGGACAGATGGATGAACAGATGGACGGATGGATGGAGAGACAGACAGATAGATAGATAGATAGATAGATAGATAGATAGATAGATAGATAGATAGATAGATAGATAGATATGTAGGCAGGTAGATAAATGTATGGATGCCAGCATAAGGCTACAATCTTCCTCTTGGAAAGGACTGTCCTCTATTTGGAAGTTAAGCCATTTTTGTATAATACTTTTTTATAAAAATCAAAATCAGGCCTTAAATCTTGGAGTCATTTTTGATGTCTCCCTTTTTCTTACACCCCATATTTTGTCTGTCAGCAAATTCCATCAAAATTTATCTTCAAAATATACCCGGAGTGCAGCCATTTCTTACCCCTTCCACTGCTGCCCCTATACTATTGCATCTAGAAGTGGATGAGGCCCTCACATTCTTCTCCCTGCTCCAATCTTACCTCTCCCTCCAGACTCTTCTCCCAAGCTGCTGGAGGGATTGCACGTACATGGAAATAGATCCTGCCGCTTCTGTGCTCCAACTCTTCCAACGGTTCACAACTCAGAGTAAAACTCAAACTCTTACAATGGTCTGACTGGCCTCATGCAGCCCCGTCTCCTGTGGTCTCTCTGACCCTGTCTCTCTTTCTGTCTTCTTCTTTTTCACTCTGCTCTGGACACCCTGGCACCTGGCTGTTCCTCATACCCCTGACCTGTTTCCTTTTCAGCAACTTTGCTGATTGATCCCTCTGACTGCCATGTCCTTTCCCAGATATCTGCGTGGCTCTCTCCCTCACCTTCTCAGCGAAGTCTTTTCTGGCCATGCTAACTAAATCCTTCACCCCCTCCAAATGTGTTTTGCTCATGGAGGTAGGCCCCACCATGAGGAAGAATGCTGAGTGGAGAGAAAGCTCTGAATAATTATTTGTTGAATAAATGAACAAATGAACAATTAATAACAGGCAAGACCTTTATATTCATCATCTCATTTAATCCAGCAAGGTAGGTATGATTTGTGACTATCCCCATTTTAAAGATGAGGAAACTAAGTCTGGAGAGGTTAAATTGGTTGGCCTAGACCATGGTGGAGCTGAGATTTGAACCCACAATCTGTGTGTCTCCAAGGCTGATGTTCTCCTTGCCTGTCATGACCCTGTGAAATCCTCCAGGATGAGATCTTTCTGCTGTGAGATTGTAGGGGCTCCAGCATCACAACCTCAAATGGTGCTTTTTCACCAAATTGAGTCTTCAGAGATGTGACATTTAGAGGCAGTGGGAAGTGTAGAAAGCTTGTCTGTTAAATTTGCCTCTCCTCTTTTTATTTTCTAATATTGTTTTTCTTTCTGGAAAGTTTTCTCACCAGGCCTGTAATAATGGCATCCTTCCCCAATCATGCCATTCTGCACATATGTATAGAAACCTTATTGGCAAGGACTGTCAGCTCCAGCTACCACACAGCACTCTGGGAGAGGGCTGGCTTCTCTTAGTTCTGCTTGGAGGTGACAAAGCCATTCAGAGTCTCTCAAGACAGTAATTGTGCCTAAAAATAACTGAGCTGCCATTTTCTTCACTTTTCACTTTTAAGACAACATGATCGTATTCCAGAAAGTGTTGCAAACAGAGGGGGAAAAGGCATTCCTAATTCTGCCATGTATCCCGGCAGCTACGTTGAGTCATAAGTATCCTCTAAGTTATCAAAGCCTCTCCCTGTGACAGAACTTGGTGATATTTTGGTAGAGGAGTGTCAGGGAGGCAGACAGAAATAAAAGACACTTATACACACATTCACACACACAGAACCTGGGAACTCTCACTAAATCATTTGAGAATCAGGGCTGATCTTACCAGGCAGATGATCCCCATGGGGAGGGGAGAGTAAGAAAATAGGTAATAAACAATTAATAATAGCTTTCATCATGAGCCAAGGCCTTTCCATTGATCATTTCATTTAATCCATCAAGGGAGTTATTATTTATGACTATCCTCTTTTTACTGATGGGTAAACTGAGTCTGGAGAGGTTAGTTGGATCAGTCTGTAGCCAAGCTGAGATCCTAAGGTTGGACTTTGAGAGCAGAAGCTAATAGTCCACAAGTCTTCATGCATGAGCTGCACCCTGTAATAAGGGTGCAGCTCTTGGGTTTGCAACCGGATTCTCAACTAACCTGGGGAGCTTTAACATAATGCTGAGCTCCAGGCCCCACCCTGAAGAATTCTGATTTAATTGGTGTGGATAGGGGCATTGGTCATGGGTTCCAGGGTGCAGTCAGGATTGAAATCCATTGGCTTAAGTCTTTGCTGACTCTGAGAAGCGCCCAGCAAGATGTGAACATTCTGCCAGCTGCACTCCACTGAACTGTGAGCCAGTGGTGGGTTTCACACCCGAACTCCATCAGTGCTGACATAGAGGACACTTTATGTTGTGTCTCTTCCAAGAGCTTTGCGGGGAGACCTTCTAAAAACAATCATGGCCCCTGTGACTCAAGATCACCTAACACCGAGGCTTGATGGTGGCAGAAAGAATGTTCTCCTATCAGAACATCCACTGTAGCATTCCCAAATTAAGAAGAGGAACATAGTGAGCCAAAAGGTAGAGAATTCTCCAGGGAACTAGATGAGGGAAGTGAGGTTGGGCTAGCAAAGAGAGGGTCAAAACAAAGATCCTGGATGTGTGGTGGTGGGCACCATACCACCTTGGAAAAGATGGGGCAGAGAGTTGAGCCAAGGAGACCAAAGACACAGAGAAAGCAAACTCTGCCAAGGAATGGGGCTGTCTTGGTATTGGTTTCATAATATTTCCAGCTCCTGGGACAGTGTCTGGTCCCTGTAGGTACCCCATAAATATTTGTTAAATGAATGATAAACACACTTTGCAAAAAAAACCCTTGTTGTTTTTCAACAGCTTGTCATGATGGGCCTCCATGGCTTTCTCTACTGATCCTTCTGAATATCAGAATAAGGATGATCCAGGACTGGAAGACATCCATGGATGGCTGCAAGGTGCTGGAAAGAGTGGAAACACGCTACTTGAGGAGCACGCTAGGGTCTAGGAACATGCTGGGGCATTATGATGCAAGGAAGCAGGAACCAATGCACACCCACTCGGCTTTGTTGTGAGAGCCTCCTGGATTAGGTAAGGCAATATTACTCCTAAGGCTGCTAACTGCAGAGAATCTGGCCTGCAGATATTTTCCTTGGATCACCATTTTATTAACATTATTTTTAATTTGTTACCAGTGCTTAAAAATTGGGAGATTTCTTTAGAAATCTAGATTTCTGGCTTCTTTTGAAGATTCAGAAGCTCTCACAGCCCTGGACCAGAATTCCCACTGGCCATAGTGGGCTATCCTGGAGTAGCTGCTGGTCCCTTTGGACAGATGGGGCATACCCCGTCCCATTTGTCTTGACCTCTGTCCAGGTGACTTTGCCCATTTTCATTGCCAACCTGGTCCCTGTAGACACTGGAGTTCGAGACTCCCTGTGCTGTTCCTTTGCTTCTATGTCTGGCTATCTCAGCTCCCCCAACAGGTGCATATTCTGGGCTCCTTTTCCCACTGGGTACTTGGCACCTCAGCTGGTCTGTTTCTCAGCATTTCCTGGTGATCTCCTTACACTCAACCCAGGCTCCCTCCCACAGCCGTGTCTCTTGTATTCCTGACCGCACCTGACATCTTTCATCTGTCCAACAAACATTCTCCCATTTTTTTCTCTCTTTTTAAATTTTTTTGCTAAAGAAAGAGGTAATTGTTCAGCCTCAAGAGATATATCACAATTGGTCTAACCACTTTATTTTGTCTGGAATTGGTTTAGGGGTAGGCATGTGACTCAGTGGCTTGGTTCTTGCCAATGACACCTAAGAAATCTCCTAGGAGTTTCGGACAAACATTTTCCTCTCTCATTAAAGAATGATTCCTTCCTTTTGGAAGAGTGTCATCACGTGGAGATGTATTACTTGGAGTCATGGCAACCATCTTGTGACCATGAGGTGAGACCTCATTTTCACACTGAGAATAACAGAGGACAGGATGGTCCCGGGACTTTCATGCTATCACTGAGCTTCTAAGCCAAATCTAGATTTATTTATTCTGGGCTTCTTTTTTTTTTTTATAAGTCCCACATGTACTTATAGCTTAAGACAGTGTGGGGCTTTTAAAAAAAAATTAATGATAGCCAAACGCATTTCTAACCAATACATTTTTTTCTCACCAGTTAGATTACAAATTTCATGACGGCAAGACTGCATCTATTTGTTCACTAGTATATAGGCAGGGCTTAGCACAGTGCCTGACACAGAGCTTGTAGTCCACAAATATTTATTTAATGGATGAATGACTCCATCTTAGCATTTGAAACTAAGTAAGTATGAAGACAGCAGCAACATCTGACTTATGTGCTATGGTCCAAGTATGTAATATATTAAACAAAATTCAGGTGAGTAGTAACATAATATGTTTGAAACCATTTTGCACATGAGGGTCCTTAGGCTTTAGAGAAGGTAAATTAGTTCCCTATATCCATGGATGAAAAAATAGTTGAGTCTGTATTTGAACCCCGGCAGTTCAGGTTCAAAATCTGTACTCTATGGACTCTGGTTATGTCCTAAAATCTACTGCTTGCCACCCTCAAGGGAAGACATAATGTCTGCAGCAAATGATATGGTTCCTACAGGCTTTGCTTTGCAAAATACAACAAATGACAGAACTATCCAGCAGAATTCGGTTCCCCTGAGCCTTGGTTCACCAGATGCTATTTTTGTGCCATTTAAGAGTAGAGCTACAAAAATTGGCATCATGGAACCCGACAATTAGAAGAAAACTTGGGCATTCATCCCTTTAACTACCAGCTTCTGAGCTCATGCTATGGCAGCCAGAACATGGACCTTGGAGTCTAATTGGCTTGATTCGAATTCCAGCTCTGCCACTCAAAAGCTGTGTGACCTTGGACATGAATATCAGCCCTCCGAACCTTGGTTTTATCACCCACAAAAGACAGGTGGTTCTAATGAGGTGAAACATGCAAAGTGCTTTGCACCATACCTAACACATAGTAGGCACTCAACAAATACTAGTTTCTGGACAGTATGTTCTTCCATCTCAGTTCTGAAGTCAACTATAAGTAAATTTTTATGTTTATAAAAATTATCTCATTTTACACGTAAGGCAGATGTTAAAGGGATGTGGAAAATTCTATTGAAGATTTCATAACCTTTATTTCTAGGTTTGGTGCCAGAGAAGTAAACCTCAGTTCATCCCACTATAAAAGAGAAAGAGCTTTCTACCTAATGCACAGTACAGCTGAGATATTCTACGATTTAATTAAAAGCTGCAGTGTCTTCCTATCTGCAGATGAATGACATTTAAATAGAAACTAGTGTTCAGCGATTTCATTACTTGGTTAAGTAATATGCCCTAAATAGCAAGTTTTAGTAATTACTGTACACTTTTCTTAAATACCCTGTTTACTGATCACCTTATAACCTGATGATACACATACATAATTTTGTATTTATAGATAAATGCTCTTTCCCAACAACTTGAACACCTAAATTATGCATTGCAAAAATCAGGTAATTGCAGAGAAACATTTGTCGTCTAACATGTGAGATCTCCAGGTAAATAGCATAATTATAGGCAACCTTTTGGAATCAATAGAAGGTAGATCCTTCTATTGATTTACCAGTTATCTTCCCATCATTTTTCCACTTTTTGAAGTGAATTCAAGGGCTGGGTGCAGTGGCTCATGTCTGTATTCCCAGTTTGGGAAGCTGAGGTGGGTGGGTCGCTTGAGCCCAGGAGTTTGAGACCAGCCTGGGCAACATGGTGAAACCCAACTCTACAAAAAAAAAAAAAAGCAAAACAAAATTAGGTGTGTCGGTGTGTGCCTGTAGTCCCAGCTGCTTAAGAGGCTGAGGTAGGAAGATCAATTGAGCCCAGGGAAGTTAAGGCTGCAGGGGATCAAGATCGCACCACTGCACTCCAGCCTGGTTAAGAGAGTGAGACCCTGTCTCAAAACAAACAACAAACAAACAAAAAAGTAAAATTGAAAATTACCTTAAATAATGACTTCTATCTATGACAACTATGACAAGGTCCACGCTCTTGCTTTCATAACCTGATGTTTTTGGAGTTTATGGGTATAGAAAAAGCATGCTTAACCAAGATAGCTTTTTTTTTTTTTTTTTTTTTTTTAGATGGAATCTTGCTCTGTCACCCAGGCTGGAGTGCAGTGGTGCAATCTCGGCTCACTGCCACCTCCGCCTCCCGGGTTCAAGCGATTCTCCTGCTTCAGCCTCTGGAGTAGCTGGGATTACAGGCATGCAATACCACGACCAGCTAATTTCTGTATTTTTAGTAGAGATGGTGTTTCACCATGTTGACCAGGCTGGTCTCAATCTCCTGACCTCAGGTGATTCACCCAGCTCGGCCTCCCAATGTGCTGGGATTACAGGTGTGAGCCATCCTGCGGCCAGTAGCTATTTTTAAAAAGATTGTCCAAGGAGTTTGTGCATCTCCCTTCTTCTGATAACAGATCTGGCCAATGAGGTTGGCATATGACTCAGGTCTGACCAATCATCGACCTCTATTTCTTAGGTGTCAGTAATTGGTTCAGTGGGTGGACATGTGACCTTAGCAGAGCCAATTAGCATTCTTCCCTGGAATTGATGCATAGGAAAGTTACTGTGAGGAAGACACTCTTGCTTTTGGTTGTAAATACAAAGTGGGGCATAAATTTGGAGGTGCTGAGAGTTATCTTTTTTCCTGTCATGTAGAAAGGCCTGTTTGTAGTAGAAGATATGAAGCCAAGGAGGGAAAACGGAGGTGAGAAATGTATGGGGGGGGGGAGAGGAAGAGAGAGAGAAAAAAAAAAAGTGGGAGAGAAGAGAGAGGGAGAGTGGGGAGGGAGGGAGAAAGTGGGAGCGAGAGAGAAGGAAAGAGAGAGAGAAAGAGAGAGAGAGAGACAGAGAGGGGGAGAGAGGGAAAAAGAGAGAGGGAGCGAGAGAGGAAAGAGAAAGGGAGAGAAAGCGAGGGAGAGAGGGAGAGAGAGTAAGGGGGAGAGGGAGGGAGAAAGGGGGAATGAGAGAGAGGGAAAGAGAGAGAGGGAGACAGAAAGAGGGAGAGAGGAGGGAAAGAGGGGGGAGAGAGGGAGAGAGAGAAAAAGACAGGGAGAGAGAAAAAGAGAGAGACAGGTAGAGAGGGAGAGAGGGAAAGGGGGTGGAGAGGAGGAAGAGTGGGGAGAGAAAGAGGGAGAGAGAGAGAGAAAGAGAGACAGGGAGAGAGAGAGAAGAGAGAAGGATGAGAGATGTACTTTGGCAGTGTCGAGAGCCAGTTCCATTGCTTGGAGACATTATCCCTGTAACCCATCCTTTCAATGCTACATACTCCACTCCTTCAGTATCATTTTCAAACCATGTGAGCCAATACATTCCACTCCCCCTTAGGATGGCTTAAGTTCAGTTTCTGTTCTGATTTCTCTTGCAGATTTCCCTGTACGTTTTAAGGGTGAATGGACACTGGCTCCCACACTGCTTTCTGGGAGGGATCTGTTCTGACCCAGAAAAGGATCTCGTATGGCCCAGAACAAGGCAAAATTGGTGGCTTTTTACTCATCTTCTGGGTGTTCAGCTCCTCTCTGTCAGGGCTAGAGACTGCGGGACAGCGTGTAACAGCTGGGTAGAGTCTGGTAAGGGCATTTTATATAAGCCTTGCTGGATGTATCAAGGGCCCCATTCATATTTCTCCTCTTTTACTCAATAACTTTAATTCTTCATCTTTATCCTGAAAATAGCACAAGAGGGAGTGAAGATTTTCTCCTAAAGATGCAGAGCCAGGCTCTCTCACAATGGTCAATGGGAAACAGTCCAGAGATGCATAGTCTGAACAAAATTCAATTAATTATGGTTTTTCCACATATAGCATTTATCTTGTTCCATGGTGAGTTTGAAATAATGTTGTAAATATTTATGCTACAATAGTGAATAAAAAAGTAAGGCAGAGAAATTGTAAAAATACTGTCAATTATGTAAAGGGTCCTAAGTACAAAGATTAGAGGAAAATATGCTTTTATTTGACTATAACGGAAGGGTAGGATTGTAGGGCACGTTTATTCATGTTTCCCTAGACTTTCCTTCAACTTTTAAATGTTCTACAATGATGATGTATTACTTTTACCATCAGAAAAATGAAATAAAAGAAAATATAATAAAGTAAAACAAAACCTGACTTGACTACACTCTATCTCCCTTTGGTTGAGCAAAGATGTGTAATTGCTTGTGCTTTTAGTTTAGGCCTGGAGTCCTGAAAACCACATATCCTCTGTGACCTTTCAGCAAGTACCCTGACATTTCTTTTCCTGGGCATTTTGCCTGTAAAGTGGAGGTATTAATTCCCACACAGTTACCATTTGAAAATGTAAAGAGGGTGTAAAGGGAATGGCATAGATAGAACGTTGAGTATGAATTGATTAAACAGCAATTTTAGGAACTATTTTGCTGGAGGTGGAGGGCTGTCTACAGTGTCCCACAAGACGTTCCTTGGATGAGCAGCAGAGGACTTGTTTCCAGGATGGAAGAGAGAGAGCGAGAGCGAGCCATAGCATCACAGAACCATCCCCAGCCTGCTAAAGTGCTCACCCAATTAGTCTCTCATTCATTCAGCAAACAGTGACTAAAATATTCTTTATGTACCAAGACTGTGCGTGGCATTCACTTACAGACGAATGAAGCAGCCAACATTCTGTGGGGCCTGTGGGTAAAGAAAGCTTCTGTAGAAATCGATTGATTAGACCAGTGCTCCCCAGTGGAAATATAAAGTGAGCCGCAAATGTGATTTTATATAATTGTAGAACCTACGGAATTATATAATTTGAAGTAACTTAAAATTGTCTTAGTAGTCACATTAAAAAAGTAGAAAAAAACCAAGTAAACTTAAATAATATTTAATAGTATATTTAACTTAATATACCCAAAACATTAACATTAGCCTTAATACAGCCTAAGTATTAAGAGGCAGAATTATTTCAGTGCCCTGCCCTGAACATTTTCTACGCTCTGCCAATTTAATTCTCCTTTCCGCAACTCCTGGCAGCCACAGATCTTTTACTGTCCTTACAGTTTTGCCTTTTTCAGAACATCACAGAGTTGGAATCATCCAGAAAGTAGCCTCTTCAGACTGGCTTTTTTCACTTAATAATGTGCCTTTAAGTTTCCTGCATGTCTCCTCATGGCCTTTCATTCTTTTTTGTACTAAGTCTTTGAAATCTGGTGTGTATTTTACACTTAACACCCATCTCCACCTGGAAAAAACACATTGCAAGGGCTCGATGACCACATGTGGCCAGTGGCTACGGTGCTGGACAGTGTGGGCAGGACTAGATGGTCCTCAGTGCACCCCTGAGCATTAGTTGCTGTGACAACTGTGAGCTCAGGGCTAAAGGCACAAGCCAGGTATCACTGTGGAGTTACCAAGGGACAGACAAGAGGATCCCAGCACCTGGGGGTCTATTTAATGGCGCTCCCAAGGTGGGAAGGTTGGTCATGATTTCTGAAGAATGGAAAGTTCTGAGTGTGCAGGTATGAAATAAAGGTAGTGGCAAAACTGATACCCCAACATTTTCCATCTTGTTAGACACATTGATGAATTTTTTGCCAAAGGATATCAGGCACAAGGAATTTCAGCCTCCATTTCACAAAACTGTGTTAATATGGCAGAATCATCTTCCAATTTAATGATTTGAAATTGACCTCTTAGCTGTATGAAACTGAAAAGGAGTTGTATTTCCATCTTCCCAATTATGGTAGACAGCATAATAGCTCCCTAAAGATATCTACCTTGAAATTCCTGAAACCTGTGAATAGGTGACCTTGTGTGGCAGTAAGGACTAAGTTAAGAATCTTGAAGTGAGGAGATGATGCTGAATTATTGGGTGGGCTCAAACGAATCACAAGCATCCTCATAAGAGGGATGTGGGAGGGTTGGAATCAGAGGCGATATGATGGGGGAGGCAGAAGCAGGACAGGGTAGACAGAGAGAGAGACACAGAGAGATATTTAAAGACACTATGCTGTTGACCTTGAGATGGAGGAGGAAGCTAGGAGCCAAGGAATGTGGGCTGCTTCTAGAAGGTGGAAAAAGACAAAGGAAACAGATTATCCTCACACAGTCTCCAGAAGGAACTTTCAAACTTTCCCAACATCTTGATGTTAGCCCAGGAAGAGCTGATTTAGACTTCTGTTCTCCAGAACTGCAAGGAAGTACATTTGTGTTGCTTTAAGCCATTACATTTTTGGTAATTTTTTATGGCATCAATGGGAAACCAATATACAAACCAAGGCTTTGAATCACAAAGCCATGGGACTTCTTTGCTCCTGGGAAGAACTGGCAAGACTTTATTTTCTGACTCTAACTCCCTTTGGGTTGACAGAGATGGGCTTTCTAAAAGGGGAAAAGCCTCCAGAATTGGAAGAGATGGGAGTTTACTGGGGAGTGTTTTGGGGCTCAGCACTTGCTGCGAGTGAGGGAAGCAGGACCAGGCAGAGGGAGGAGGTGAACTGTTAACATCATAAGCTACCTGGGGCTGGGATGATCCCGAAGGCCCTCCCACCTGGAGGGGAGGGGGCTGGGTCATTGGATATAGGCTGCCCCTGGGGTGGAAACTTTGGGTGAGGCAGTGCCCTTCCACCGGGTAGGTTTAACTCCTGAAGAAGAACTTGCCCGAGTTGTTTGTCAGCCAGTAATATTCTCAGCAGCTGGGGGAATGAGCACTTCAGTCTTGAAGGGAGATCTGGGTGGTGCACATAGCATGCACTATGAATATCAACTTTATAGGGTAATTAAGAGGGTTAAATTTGACCAAATGCACCGAGGGATTGGCATAGAGTATGGCACATACTAGACTTGTTCCCAGACCAAACCGGGTGTTGGACTGCTTATTCTTGCAATCTAATAATGAGATGCAGATGAACCGGGGAAGAAGGGAGTTTATTTGTGTAACAGGGTACAGGGAGAAGGCCTGGAAAATATCGCCAGACCAACTCAAAATTACAAAGCTTTCCAAAGCTTATATACCTTCTAAGCTATATGTCTACGTGTAAGCATGCATTCATCTAAAGACATAAGTGATTAACTTCTTCCAGCCTATAACTAAGGTGTGAGTCCTGAAGACCTTCCTCTGGAACTTCAGTAAATTTACTTAGTCTAGATTGGTCCAGGTACTGGGGTGATTACCTTTATCTTGTCTCCCACTAAATGAGAGGTCTGGGGAGTTCCTTTAGACCCCCAGTAAAACTTGTTTGTGGAGGTCTGGGGACTTTCTTCAGACCCCCAATAAACTTGTTTAATCCCAAATGGGTCCTGTTAAGAATTCCTTCGTTATCTTGTCATGTTTCAAGGCCCAGGAAAGGCCTGGGCACAACTCTTGGTGGGCTTTCGTTACACTCCAGCCTTTGTATAAGGGCACTAGCTCTTTCAGCTTTTAATATTTAACTTCACCACTCAGTCAGTGCTGAGACAGTTGTTATGGAGGCCTGCCTGTTCAGTTGTCAGTGAGACCTGGCCTGCCACAGACTCTTCATAAGTGGTTGTTGATGATATTGTCATTATTATTAGAATTATTCTGATATCAAGAACATTTTTGAAGATGCTAATGGATAAAAGAGACAATGAGTGAATTCCAAGCAGCCTTAAAGTCCAGGCAATTAAGAGGAAATAATAATCCTCAGTGGCCCTTGAAGAGCCTCTAATCTCAGAGGTGCTGACAATGAATTTGGGTCCTGAAAAAGCCGCCAAATCTGCAAACAAACAAAGCAGTGTTGTTTTTGAAGGGGAAAGTCAGAAGGAAGCAGAGGTTTCAACAAAGCCATTTTGCATTTGTACCATCCCTGGTTTATGGTTCTCCAGAGCAGCAAGGACAGGTCTGCAAACACCAGAATGTGCTGTTTTGTTTTCCTTGCGGCGGTTTTATTCTGCATTCTGTATTCTCCCTGGGCCAGATGCTGCCTGTGACTTGACTAATAATTTCCAGCATGAAATGTGCTGAGAGCTTTGAATTTAAACATGATACCTTGAGGTCCCCGTGGCAGGCCCTGTCCCTCACCCTTGGCCCCACTGGGGCAGTCTTTGGATTCTTCCTGGAAAAAGGCCTAGTCAGCAGGATATGCCGCTGGAGACACCAAGAAGTCTATAAAAGCCACTGGGAGTTTGTTCTCAAGGTGGCGGCCCTTCTCCCTCACCAGGGAGCTCCATTAAGCCTGGTCTGAAACATGCACTTGTCAGAGATGGGGATGTGAGGGTCAACCGTGACTCCATGAGAATACAACCTGTTGGTTTACTTTGCCATTGTATCCCTAGAATTTATCATGAGACCTGGTACATAGTAGAACCTCAGTGAATATTTATTTGTTGAATGAATGAATGAATTCTTCCCCAGAAGGTACTGGAAGGCCAGAACTCACCCTCCTGAATTTTAGGGCCCAGGAAGGCAAGTGTGTTGCCAAGAACTGAGACATGACTGTGTGTGGGTTACCTTACGGTGCTTCACTTCCCCTGAGCCCTGGACTCTTGAGGAGTTGTATTATGTGGTTGGTCTCTCAAGCATGCATGTTCTACAGTGATGGAGAGAAAGCGTGCAATGTTCTTTCATACACCAGTGACTTCACACAGACCAATCCCTCTGCCTGGTCACTGTTCCTTCCTCCTCACTTCCCCTTGAAACAGCCTTTGCAAAATTATAACAGTGAGAGAAATCTAACATAACTGACTCCATCCTGCTTGTAACCTCACGCGCTAACTTCCGTTGCTCATTCTTGTGCATAGGCCAAGCTAAATGGAAGGAATTAATTTATAGTTTAACTTCAAAGCAAGGATGACCTTCTCAAAACTGACCCCATTCTTGTTTGGGAACTGCAACCACCTTTGTAAGACTAATGAAAGACCACAAAGTTAGAAATACGGTAGGCACCCGAATTCTTCTAAGATGTAGACATAGACTCTAACCAGTCATTGCTTCTTCTGCTAAGCTAGGACCATAAACAACACTCAGCCACTATTCCCTAGCTTCTTTTCTGTAATTGCTTACTGCTCAGGAGCCATATAACCGGAGGTCACAAGATTTGTAACTTCTCCAGTTGCTTCTATAGATAACATCGCTATTACAAAAAGTTTCTTATTCTCTGAGGCAATGGAGTCTTGCTGTGTTTCCCAGGCTGGTCTTGAACTCTTGGGCT